ATTCCTAAAGATTTCTTTTCACTCGTTTTTTACCTTTCCTGGAAGCGCGCAGCGAAAATGAAGCACACTTTTCAGGTCCTTGCATGAGCCCCTACAATATGCAAAAAACCGTTTTCGAAAAGCGCACCACGCCCTGAACGACCTCCCTTGTCAGAGCGTACGAACAAAACTATCAGAATTCATGAGTGCGTGCGAACAAAACTGGTAAAAAGAGAAAAAAATCATGCGTCCCAAGAAGGGAAAATAGTAATACTAATAAGATGAACGATGCTTGCAAAGGTATTATGATGTAAGATGTTTGTCTAAAGCAGCCTTAAAATTGCTCAGTTTACTCGTGGTCACTCCTTCCAGTCTATTAAATTCTGGGACGGTCCTATTAGCAAAGAAGTGATGCCTAATATTGCTCTTAGTTCGACGAATAATCAGCTTTCTAGAGCTACCTCTGGTAATTGACTCTCTGACAGCAAAAAGAGTGGAGGGTCTAATACCAGTGCGTAGATGAAGAATCTTGTAAAGAAAGATTAGGTCAAATTTTTTCCTCCTGAGAGCTAGGGTCTCCATATTGAGGTTTAGGTTCCGCACCACACTGGTAGGTATTTGTTCGTACTTGTATCCCACCGCTCTCAAGAAAACCTTTCTGGTAAAGTTATTTTGTACCCTTTCTAAAGCATTGATACTTTTCCTCTTATTCGGATTAAAAACTACGGTCCCGTACTCCAACAGAGGTCTAATGTAAGTCTAGTATGCTTTACATAATACGAGGGAATCTTTGGTTAGGAGTGACCGATGTAAAACAGCAGTCTTTAGCTGCGATTTGCGAACAGTGTGCATCAAAGGTTAGGTCACTGCGAATAAGGAAACCTAGGTCCCTAATTTCTTTAACCTCATCTAGACATACCCCTTGAATCGAATACGAGGACGAGCTATCAACTTTCCCTATGCGTAGCACCTTGGTTTTCTCACTAGATAGAGGTAAGCCCCATTGCTTGGCCCACATGCTAACCTCATTGATGACCGCTTGCAACAGCACTTTGTCCGAGTCAGATGAGATCGGGGATATATTTTGAGGTCATCGGCAAAAGAGCGCGCTTGACTGCTCTAAGACGAGGTAATACAAATGTAAATATGTTGAAAAGAAGAGGAGAAAAAACGCCTCCTTGCGGCACGCCACTGAGCACTGGCCTAGGTTCGGAAAACTCCGCATTAACGCGCACAAGATAAACTCTATCAGTAAGAAAGGATTCTATCCACTTAACAATTCTGGGATGAACTCCAACTATTTTGAGTTTAGTTATGAGTTTACAGTGAGACACTCTGTCAAACGCCTTCGCGAAGTCCAAATAAATCACGTCCACTCCGATGTCATTATCAAGATACATTGACCAATCATTGAGAGCCTGGAGCATGCCCGTTACAGTTGATTTCCCTTTCTGGAAGCCGTGCTGGTTTTCGGAGATTATTTCATACTGCTCCAAATGTGTCATGAGTCTCTTTTTCAGAACTTTCTCAAACAATCTGGCGAATATTGAGGTTATACTGACCGGTCTGAAGTTATACGGACAGGTATGAGGCGGCTTCTTAGGGATTGGGGTTACGAATGAAACGCGCCACCTTGTTGGCACTTCAGCTCATAAAACTTGAGGTGAAGAGGAAGGCCAGCGGTCCACATACTATGTGCGCTACTTTTAATGAATACCAGAGGGACATGATCAGGTGTATCCGAACGGGATCTGGGCCATCGAATCAGTAACTTATATATTTCTTCCTTGTCGAACCAAAGTGAATCCTCCATCACCGGAAACGATGGTACGGCATCTAACTCTAAAGAATCATCCCCTTTCTGGAAGGACTTCGCAAAGACATCAGCCAGAAGCTCAGCTTTGTCCCGATCTTTGCATACTGCAATCCCATCCTCCTTGAGAGAACCCCTAAACCTTTGCTTTTCCCAGCCTGGAATTGAGTAGCCTATAGAAAGCGTTCTTATTCTTGGAAAAGATAACTTTTCTTTCAACATGATTATAGAACTTGCTCAACCTTTTCTCAAAAGTAGTTCTCAATTTGTTGTATTCGTCCCAATCTGCTTGGTTATCACTCGACACAGCCTTAGCCCAAGCTGAATTCTTTTTGCGGTTACATCTGATCAAGTGAAGTGGAAGCTGTACTCCAGTAGTCTTTTGAGGCTTGAGTGGAACAAATAATTCGATGGTATGATGAATTACAGCTAAAAACAACTCATATTTTTCATTAGGTGTATCAACGCTTTGAGATGATCCATGCTAGTCTACAGTTGCGTTACTGAAGTCACGTACAAACATTATTTTGCTATTTTGTTCCGCCTCAATGTTGATGTCAAAAGCGACAGATGCATGATCACTATTACCAATTGGTGTTTGGATCATTGTATTACTTATGAGCTGTGAATTGTTAGTCAGTATCAGATCTAAAATGTGAGGTCCATGAGTAGGCTTCAAAACGAGCTGATGGAAATTCAGGCCTGTACACAATTCTATGAAGCGTGAAGCACGTGCGCTATTCGCCTGGGGCCTACCTCCCACAATAGTTCAGGAAGACTGAAATCACCAAGTAAGACGACAGAGTTATTGATGCCTGCTTATTCGCCAATCGCTTTAAGCAGTTGTTCGAATTCGAAAGAGGAACTCATCAACATTCCTTGAAACTGAGCGAATGTTAGCAGCCACCTTAGACAAGCATCTGACAACAGGTGTGGGTGCTATATATTCGACCTTACTGGAGAACGAACTGAATTTTGTGAAATATTCGTCAAGTCATTAACTTCACGAGAGGCTTGAGGGGACATCAAGTGATTATTTTCAGAATGAGTAACATGTCTACTAATTAACGACCTCTTCGCCTCTGCTCCTTCTGCTGCGAGCAACCTCCCTGTCAGCCCGTTTCCGCTCAAGTTCATCCTTGGATAAGGATGCCCTAATGAAGACGCCTTTCTTGAGCGGGAAGTGCTTTAGTTGAGGTGACCGTCGAAAACAAGCCTAGCGAAAAACGAGTTGGATAGAATAACCTTAAGCAGTCTGTTATACCACACCTATCAGTCTCGCTCTACCTCTGTACCAATTACTGGCAACAAACTAACTAAACTAGGCAACGACTTATTTCACTCTATTTAACAACAATCCCAACAATTGTTCGCCAAATATCTCATTTTTAGAGCACCGCTTACCAACTAATTCTGGTGCAACTAGTGTAAATTTTCAGATTACCTCTTTATACGAAAGATAGGAGTATCTCGAAGCAGTAATGTCAGTCCCATATTTGCAGACCTAACACTATCATACTTAGAGTATATTTATTCCATCAAGCACTACAACAAAAACAACCACAAATATAATAAGATTTTTTAGATATATGGACGACATCCTAATTATCCATAACAGTAATACAAAAACCATTCAAAATGAATTGGAAAAAACATACAATAACATATTAAAACTAGAGATCACGAATAACAACGAAATAACTGTAATTATTTCGATTCAGAAATTCATAGCATAGCAAACAAAATTTATGCAAAAATGTTCAGTAAACCAGACAATTTCAACATCAATATGAGAAGGTTTCCAGAATGCCAGAACAAACATTTCGAAACATATCAAAACCAACACAATATATTCAGAAATCCCAAGAACGCTCGAATATGCACCGAAAAAGGCTTTGAAGATAGACTTGATTTTACAGTGAGACAACTGAAAGAGTCTGAATACAATATAGAAGTTTTCATTATACGTCTTACAAAATGCGTTATCCATAATGACTTTATTAAATAAAAGCATAACATCCTAACTAATAGTTTAATTGAAACAATTAGAAAACTAGGTTAAACTAATCAACTAATAGAGTCATCCATGCAATAATAATTTTAAAAAAGCATATACAATTAATCAATTTCTGTAGCACTAAATCACACTGGTAAACATGGCCGTAACAAAATAGGATAAAATAATAATAAGTAAGAAGAAATGTAAATCACCTCCTTACTCATGATGACCAATAAAAATAAATCAACCAGATGGAAAGAAGTCGAACCCTTGATAACGACAACAAGGGAAATCAAGATTTCACTCGATCCATTTAACAATAAACCAAGTCAGATTATCACTCGAATGTTAGGTAAGTCAACTCATCAATCATATAACTAGTACATTCATACAACTTCTAGCATATCAGGTATAGACATGGTAATTAATGTGAGAAGCTAATCCAAAGAAAGATGAACAGGAGAGAAATAAGTACGTTAACTTTACATCCAAAGAAATATCAATATAAATACACACCAAAGGTTATAGCACATTTTTATATTAGAATATTAGCAATATAAAGTACAACATTGTTTGTTGTATTGATTGATTTGAAAGTGTCCAATCAAAAGTTTAAAAAACTGCAAGTTACATAGCCCTAAAAGTCAAGGGAAAGAATGTCTTTTTGGGTCCCTCCCTGTACATTCAAAAGCTCCACTAACTTGGCTGGTCTAGAGACACTTCTCGAGAACAGCACACAGACAAAACCACATTTTTGTACCGCTTCTGACCCTCCACATGACAAGCAAAAGGTTACGGAAAGCCAATGAAATATTAGGTTGTTATAATGTTCTATACACGTGTTTGATCCTCTCCTATTCGTTCGCATGGATGTTGGTATTACGTCATCACGTATGCGTGACATGTACATTATACTTCTTTCATTACACTAGCTATCACTTTGTCATGCTTTCACCGAGCTGCATTTTGCAGTACAAGTTAATCGCACAATTTCACTGTGACAAAACGTACCTGCGTTCCACTGTTTTGTTTTGCTTGGCGCCTTCACTATTCGGTTCTGGAATGTGCAAAGGATATGCCCATACCACCTGGTGGATACACACGGTGAGGACGTCATCCTTTAGATGACTATTGCAACAATTGTCTTCGCGCAAATTCAAGAAAGTGAGACTTTTTCGTCCTCTGAAAATGCTCGGCGTGTCGGTCGGCCCATGGAGTTGGAATTTGCAAGTACTACGTTTCCCCCGTGGAGGAGACCCCGGTAACCTCACCAGTCCAGAGAGATATGGACATCTTTAAGTATGACATTCGATCGGTTTTGCATCGTGAAACTAGAAAAGTCTCGGCAAGGTAGCAAACCTTGGTCGATTGTGGTCCCACAGGGGGGGGGGATACTGTCCGCTTATGACCTCTCGAGGAGGGTGACCACCTGCACTTCTCTCCTCACTTTCCAAAAGAGGCTTCACTTTCTCAACTCGATGATCACTGGAGATGAGAAGTGGGTCCTCTACGATAACCCTGTGAGGAAGCGGCAGTGGGTCGACAAAGGAGAACAGCCAGAAGCCACCCCAAAACGCGCGCCCCTTCACCCCAAAAAGGTTCTCCTGCCGTTGGTGGTCCAGAAGAGACATGGAGTACTGAGGAGCTGCTGGAGAAGGGACAGACGATTGACGCTTCCACATACGTGACCCAGCTGCGGAAATTGAAAGATCACGTCGACCGTACTTCGGATATGGAAATGTCGGGAAATCTACTGTCCACCATGACTAGACGGCCTCGACCGTTCACACTGCAAAGGCGACCCAGGCCGAGCTGGAGAAGTACGGATGGCTGATGGTCGCCCACCCTCCTACAGCCCTGACCTCGCTCCTTCTGACTACTGGCTGTTCAGCCACCTGCAGCGCTATCTGGACGGAAAAAAGTTCGAAACAAAGGATCAGGTCAGAAAGGCGCTCGACGACTTCTTCAAGTCCCAGCCTCCGTCGTTCTGGAAGGATGGAATCGACAAGCTGCCTGAGCGCTGGCGTCGAGTAGTGAATGGTGATGGTGCATACCTCTAATCTCCTGGTTCGTTTTTGAGATATTTACAAAAAAGTCGTGTATAAGAACTTATGCAACAACCTAATAACAAAGACTCCCTCATGTCAAAAAGTAAAACGTACCAGCTCAACAGAGTTGATGATTGAATAACCTACCACCCTCTCCCGCTGTTGTGATCCATTCCAGATTACAAAACGATAACATTTATCACTCTGTTGCTAGCACGATCTGCGCAGTCCAGAAGAAAACAGCTCTAAAGATGATGTTTCTCGACCGAGCAGTTCAAGGTTTTCAGAGTGCTTCGTTGCTCGAGCACCTCGATCAAGAAAAGCCAGTGCATGCTTTCAATGTTCGAAAACTCTTATTCACCATAGCTTCCACACTGTTTTAGCTTGCTCTTCCTCAAATGTATTTTGTTTATGGTCTTTTCCCATAAATTACTATAGTACATGCAAAAGATGAGCAGCACCTGCTTCAGGCCTGCTTCAACAATTCAAAACGACTAGTAAGTCGTGCTAATGCATAAGTTAAGCGGAGTGTGTCACTAATAGATAACGCTGTAGGCGATATTGATTAGATTGTTGTACTTTAGATATACATAGTTAGGTGCTCAAATAAACTTCAGCAAACGTACAGGCATATGTAGCAGTTTCCGTCCATTTTTCCACCTCCTGAATGCGTCATCGCAACGTCCTCGCCTTCCTGAAAGCAGCTTGAGTTGCACGAAAAACAACATTAGACGTTGCTCGTTTCAAAAAAAGCATTTTCCTCTCCCATTTGAAGGTAAACGTCTTCACACGGTAAATTATAATTGACATTCTTCTCACTTTTGCGTACAATTAAACAGTTAAGCAGACACTTGAACAAATACTTGAGAAAATGGCAAAAACACTCTAGTATTGCAAAAGCGAAAAAGAATCCACCTCTCAATGTGCTAATAAAGACAATAAAACATAGAAAATAATCGCAAGAATAGCAACCAAAACAGCGTGAACTAGAGAGAAAATGGCTAAAGCAGGCTGGAAACAGCTGATCGCTGCGCTCGCAACACACCGCAACGGCCTCGCGACCCGTTCTAATCAAGTCACCGGATGACGACTGTATGAAATTGACTAGAAAAATGTTCGAAAATGTAACGAACTTTCCTAACACCCCAACACTCTCTTCGACATTTCCAGACTCAATACTTCGCTCGCTTCCAGTAGGGACTGGTATGTTCTCTATTTTCGATCAGTTTTCGCGAAAGTACGCCGCACACTTACCTGCTCAGTGGTAGCCGCCCTGTGCCTGCACACATCGTACATAGCTTCGGTGCATTTTTTCATCTAAACGAGTGAATTTGTCGATGCTCTGAAGAAACGCACTTATGTTGATTCTAATAGAACAGCGTAACAGTTTTGATGAAGCGCAGCAATAAAACAATAATTTGGACGCGGTAATCGCC